TGAGGGAGGGAATAGGGACACGAAAAGGATTTGGAGGGTTTGCGGGATTTGGAGGCTGGAGCGCTAGCAAAGCGGCAGGACATTTCCCTGCCACTCAAGCCGCAGCGGGGGCCCGCCTGCCTTGCCGGCTTCAACTCCTCCGCCCCTCCCCCCAGGGAGAACGTGCCACCTCGACAGGCACCCCTGTCAAGAGAAACTTCCCTTCTCTCTTCCAGCTGCCTTCTCCCCTTGGCTCATGAGGCAGGCTTCCAGCTAGGGAGCAATTTTTTCGTGCCGGCCGGCAGGCTGGCCGGCCGGCCGTGTATGTATCTGCTCTCCTTAGGTGTGAGCCTCATGGGATGTGGTTGGACACTCCACCCACGAGTGCAGTCCTTCTCCGGCTGTCCCTCTCTTTCTGACTCATTTCACTTAGCATGCGACGCGCTGCGCGTCTATCCACGGACTCGTACTCTTTTTGCTGGCCCGCTCGCTCGCTCGCTGGCTCGCTCGCTTCCATGCTTGCTTGCTTCCTTCTTTGCTTTTGCTTGCTTGCTTGCTCGCTTATGGTTGCTTGTTTAACTTTTTATACATACGTACACACGTACGTACGTACGTACATATGTATGCGTGTATACTATATATGTGTACATATATATATTTTTATAAATGTCTTGAATGAATCGCCATGAGGTACAGGGACAAAGTGACAAAACTTTCTTCCCTCCCCATCCCTCCGTCTTCCCTCCGTGTCCATCTCCAGAGATTCCAAACGGGGTCACGGGGTGCAAGCTGCCCATAGTTCACGTGTGGCACAGGTGCCTGACTTGACTCCCGTTCTATTTTTTTTCTGCCATCCGGACCCGGACCCCTCGGCTATGTCCCCAGCCTCACGTGTCCCTTAGGTTCGTGGTGTCGCGTCTCCATCTCGAGGTCGTTTTAAAACGCGTTAAGCCACGTGAAACACGCACTCGCGCAGGCACGCACCCACCCACTCACTCACGCCTGCCCACCCCGCAACATCACCGCTTCACAGTGACCAATTTGGGAAATGTTGAAGAGAAACGAGTGGGTGGTCGTGTGCTCTCTCGATGTGGGCGCCGCCGCGCCACACTGCACAACGTCCTGCGTTTAGCTTCGCGAATGGCTACGACTAGGGTGTGCTCGTTCCCGAGGGTGCCCGGTCGCCCGAGAGGGCCACGGTGCCAGATCCTGTGAGCGCGTCAGGGCGGTGGTCGTCGCGGGTGTCTCCGGAGGCCGCGGTGCTGTTCTCCGTCCCCTCGCCGTCTCTCCGCGCCACCGCTGCCGGGGGTCGTGGCGGCGTCACACACTCGGGGGTCCCCCCCACCGCCGACTCCGGTCAGTGGGGGGGGTGTCGGGCAGCGTCGTCTACCCCCTCCCCCGTCGGGCCGCGCGTCTCGCTGCCCGCGGGGTCTCAAGCGGGTGCCCGGTCCCACAGTCGTGTGGCGGCAACAGGCCCATGCCCGCCCGCGTCTCGTCTCCTCCTTCCCCGCGCGCCCGCGGCGTTCCTCGTGCCGCCGCGCGTCTCCCCGCGCCGGGTTTGCTCGCGCTTTGGCTTCCCGCCGGGCCGGCCGTGTCGCAGGGCGGTGTTGGTCCCTCCGTCCCGCTCTCCCCCGCCCCCGCCCGCCCCCGTCCGCGTCCTCGTCCCGCGCCCATCCGTCCATCGCTCTGGCGGCTGGCGGCGGCGCGGGGTCGGCCGCGGTTCGGGGAGGAGGGGAGGTGTGTGGGGGGGCGACGTTCGGGCGGGGGGTTCTCCTGTCTCCACCCCTGACCGACCGACCGCCGGCGGGGCTCGCTCGCGCATCTCCTCCTACCTGGTTGATCCTGCCAGTAGCATATGCTTGTCTCAAAGATTAAGCCATGCATGTCTAAGTACGCACCGCCGGTACAGTGAAACTGCGAATGGCTCATTAAATCAGTTATGGTTCCTTTGGTCGCTCGCTCCTCTCCTACTTGGATAACTGTGGTAATTCTAGAGCTAATACATGCCTACGGGCGCTGACTCCCTTCGCGGGGGGGGTGGGGGGGGGAATGCGTGCATTTATCAGATCAAAACCAACCCGGTCAGCCTCCCTTCGGGGCGGGCGCCGGCGGCTTTGGTGACTCTAGATAACCTCGGGTCGATCGCATGCCCCCCGTGGTGGCAACGACCCATTCGAATGTCTGCCCTATCAACTTTCGATGGTAGTCGCCGTGCCTACCATGGTGACCACGGGTGACGGGGAATCAGGGTTCGATTCCGGAGAGGGAGCCTGAGAAACGGCTACCACATCCAAGGAAGGCAGCAGGCGCGCAAATTACCCACTCCCGACCCGGGGAGGTAGTGACGAAAAATAACAATACAGGACTCTTTCGAGGCCCTGTAATTGGAATGAGTCCACTTTAAATCCTTTAATGAGGATCCATTGGAGGGCAAGTCTGGTGCCAGCAGCCGCGGTAATTCCAGCTCCAATAGCGTATTTTAAAGTTGCTGCAGTTAAAAAGCTTGTAGTTGGATCTTGGGAGCGGGCGGGTGGTCCGCGGCGAGGCGAGCCACCGCCCGTCCCCACCCCTTGCCTCTCGGCGCCCCCTTGATGCTCTTAGCTGAGTGTCCCGCGGGGCCCAAAGCGTTTACTTTGAAAAAATTAGAGTGTTCAAAGCAGGCCCAAGCTGCCTGGATACCGCAGCTAGGAATAATGGAATAGGACCGCGGTTCTATTTTGTTGGTTTTCGGAACTGAGGCCATGATTAAGAGGGACGGCCGGGGGCATTCGTATTGCGCCGCTAGAGGTGAAATTCTTGGACCGGCGCAAGACGGACCAGAGCAAAAGCATTTGCCAAGAATGTTTTCATTAATCAAGAACGAAAGTCGGAGGTTCGAAGACGATCAGATACCGTCATAGTTCCGACCATAAACGATGCCGACTGGCGATGCGGCGGCGTTATTCCCATGACCCGCCAGGCAGCTTCCGGGAAACCAAAGTCTTTGGGTTCAGGGGGAGTATGGTTGCAAAGCTGAAACTTAAAGGAATTGATGGAAGGGCACCACCAGGAGTGGAGCCTGCGGCTTAATTTGACTCAACACGGGAAACCTCACCTGGCCCGGACACGGACAGGATTGACAGACTGATAGCTCTTTCTCGATTCCGTGGGTGGTGGTGCATGGCCGTTCTTAGTTGGTGGAGCGATTTGTCTGGTTAATTCTGATAACGAACGAGAGTCTGGCATGCTAACTAGTTACGCGACCCCCGAGCAGTCGGCGTCCCCCAACTTCTTAGAGGGACAAGTGGCGTTCAGCCACCCGAGATTGAGCAATAACAGGTCTGTGATGCCCTTAGATGTCCGGGGCTGCATGCGCGATACACTGACTGGCTCAGCATGTGCCTACCCTACGCCAGCAGGCGCGCGTAACCCGTTGAACCCCATTCGTGATGGGGATCGGGGATTGCAATTATTCCCCATGAACGAGGAATTCCCAGTAAGTGCGGGTCATAAGCTTGCGTTGATTAAGTCCCTGCCCTTTGTACACACCGCCCGTCACTACTACCGATTGGATGGTTTAGTGAGGCCCTCGATTCGGCCCCGCCGGGGTCGGCCCACGGCCCTGGCGGAGCGCTGAGAAGACTGTCGAACTTGACTATCTAGAGGAAGTAAAAGTCGTAACAAGGTTGCCGTAGGTGAACCTGCGGAAGGATCATTAACGGCCGTCCGGTCGAGCTCGTCTGGAGCTTGCTCCGGCCCTCTCTTCCCTGTGTGGCGCGGGGCCCCCCCCCGGGAGGAGGAGGAGCAGTGGGTTGGGGTCCGTCCCTGGTCCCACCCGCCCTCCCTCCTCCCGGAGCCCCGCCATTCGCGAAGGGGGGGTGCTCAGGGGGGCGCCAAGGTGAGCCAGAACGAAGGTCGCCAGAGAAGTGCCCTGGTCGGTCGGTGGTGTCATCCGCGAGGCGGTCACGGTTGGCCACAGCCGGGCGGAAGGCGGAGGCCGCGAGCGTGTGGGGGTGCTGTCTGTCGGGGGTCGTTCTCGACGTGGGGTTCATCCCGCCGAGGTTACGGCGGTGGCGGCGCAGCCTGGGTCGGGCCTCGGGCCCTCCCGGGGGAGGGTGAGCGGGTGCAAACTGTCGGCGTGGCGTTCCGAGTGCCGCCGGCCGCCACTCCCCCTCCTCCCGGGGGCGGTCCCCCGTCCCCGCTCTGGCGCCAGCCGGCTCCCCTCGGGCCTGTCGTGATCTTCCGACTGTTCTTCCACCCCCCTCCCCCCGCCCGGCTGCCGCCGGCGGCTTTCCCGCCTCCCCATCCCGAGCTGCGCCGTCCGTCCGTTCGTGTTGTCTGATGCCTCCCTCCGCCTTTGCCTCTGTGGCCCCGGCCCGTCCGGGGTCTTCCCTCGCCTCCCCTGCCAGGGGTGCGTCGTGGCCGTCGAGGTCGTGGCCGCGCCCCCACCCTGTCCCAGGTACCTAGCGTGTTCTGGCGCAGAGGTTTAAAGACCCTTTGGGGGCCTGCCCGTCCGCCTCGGGGTCGGGGGCGGATGGGCCCGTTGGGGAGCCCCGGCTCCTCCAGACCCCGCCCCGGCCTTCTCCCCGCCCGTTCCCCCCGGGTGTCGTCCATCTCGTCATCGTCGTCGGGGTCGTCCCTCCCCCACCCGCCTCTGCCTGGTGTCCCTCCCTCGGGAGCTGTCGGGACGGGCTCACGCCCATCCTGGCGCGCCTTCCCGCCTGAGAGGGGAGACCGGTCCGCACCGGGGCGATGAGTCCGGGTGTTGGGGTGGCGGCGGCGGCCGTCCACGGGGCCGGCGGGTGAGGACGGTTTCGGGGGCAGGGAACCCCCGCGGGCACCTGTGGGGGTTGACCCTGCGCCTCACCGTGCGTGCACGGTGTCGGACGTCCGGGCTCAACCCCCTCGTGGGTGAAACCTCTCCCGACCCCACCGAGTCTGGTCTCGTTGTCCAAGTCTGGCCCGGCCGGAAGCATGGGCTCTCCGGAGCCCACTGTGCTGAAGCCAGCGATGCCCCGCACAAGCGGTCCAAAAAACAGTAC